GCTGTGGGCTGTGTAGTCTGAGCTTTAGCAGAGTGAACATGCAGGAGAAAAACCCACTCAGGTAAATTATTCATCACAAGGCTTACATCTAATAAAAGGAAGCTGGATGTCTGCAGCACGTAGCCCAACAACAGCTTAAAAAAACTGGGATAATATTTGTTGAGATCAAAGTGACACCAGCTAAATTATAATTGATGACACTAAAGGCGGTGACATTGCTCTGCTTAATGATCAAAGACAGACTAACAAGCAGCACAATCAGTCAGGACTGGCTGCCACGGAAAGCTGTTCCAGCAGGTTTGGCAGAGGCAGTACAGGGTGAGAGCCAGCGTTCAAGGGTCTGTACTGAGACACAGATATTCAGGCTTTTAGTTCATAACTGCACCAGCAGCTGATAAACAAAGGCCGGGCTCTTAGAAGTGGTTTCAAGACAGAGGGAGGCACTATTTTCATGCTGATACTTGCTACCTGCTGCACAAGACATAAAATAAAAATTAACGGATCTATTTGGTTCAGTGTGACTGGAAAAGAAATAACAATCTGAACAAATAATGGTAAAAGGCTAATTAGGGAAAAGAAAGAAAAATAAATACATGTATAAAACATAAAAGAAAACAGCTAAAAGAAAGACATTAAAAGGCTTTTAAAAAAACAAAGCAAACCCACCATCGAGATTAAAAACCAGGTCTGCCTCCTCTGACGCTATGGTGGTGGTGAGCAGCGGCAGCTTCTCCAAGCTGACACAGGAGCATGGCTTCAAAGTCGGTTCAAGCTCTCAATGCAGTGTTGAGGAAGTTGCTCTAGCTGTAGGTGAAGTGATCAGGTATGGGTCAGGTAAATCTGCTGCTTGAATGAATGGTGCAGTGGTCTGGTTTATTGAGAAAGTGGAGCAGACTCGCTTGTCAGGCATTTCTGTGAAGGAATAGCTGTTCAGTTACTCCCACTGACTCTTCCAGCCACTAAAATCACACAGTAATGATATTTTTGTGATAGATATTCTTGATATTCTTGTGCAGAAAGTTATCATGGCATGGCAAAGTGGTTTCTCCCATTAAAAAGGTGTTGTCAGGTTGTAAATCTCCATTGTTGAAACATGTTGTCTCCCATTGGAGACAACTGTGAGGTGAGAGAAGTGTGTAAGACATGTGAGGTTAGCAAGGTGGGTGAGGTAACAGAGGTGTGTGGAGTAAAGGGAGGAGAGAAAGATGGGGTGAGGGAAGAGCAGGTAAGTGAAACAGGCAAGGTAAACAGAGATGATAGCAAAAAGGTAAGTAAAGCGAGCGGAGTGAAGGGAGGAGAGAAAGGTGAGTTAAGGAAAGAGCAGGTAAGAGAGACAGGTAAGGCAGGACAACGGAGTTGTAGTCAGGTAAGTGATTCAGGTAAAATGCTGGGCTTTCTTGTGAGCAGGCAGGTGAGGTCAGTGGAACAAGTGAGACAGGTAAGGCCATAAAGGTGATGGAGACTGAGGTTTCTGGTACGTGGCTTCTTAAAAAAAGTGCAGCAAGAGGATGTGATGGCAGCAGTTAAAGCCAGTGAACAGATAAGTGAACAAATGGCAGCAATGCGTGTGCAAGATAACAGCAGTGACAGTGAGGGCTGGCTCTCTGACTATAGCGATATCTCAAGATAGATCATTTTCTGCAGTTGTGGGGCCTTAAAGGGATTCTGTGCAATGTTTGTGATGGAAAACAATTTTAAAAACAATGTCTGTGCTGACTTTTCTTAAACTAAACATTCAACATTTCATGCATGTCCATTTGACCTCATTGTAAATAACGTCTTAAATATTAATAAAGTCTTTCTCTTTCCTCTTCTTTTTCTTCTTCTGGCTGGTTCTGTGATTGGATTCAAGTTGGACTCAGTGGAGGATGTGGTGGTGAGATCTACACTGAAGAAGGTGGAGACTGTTCTAAAGAACACAAATCCCCCACTTCACAATATCTCAATGGACCAAAAGGCCAATGGTGGTGGACGGCTCCCCTCTCTTCGCTGCAGGACAGAAAGATTCAGAAGGTCTTTTGTTCCCACAGCCATCAGACTTTACAACTCTTTTATAAATAGTAGATGACTTTTGAGACATGACAAATGAGAGGACAGACAAATGAATTTCCCTTTGGGGATCAATAAAGTTATTCTTATTCTCCTTCTTTATCTTTTTTCTCCTCCACTCATAGGTCAGCAGTATTGCATTCAGTTTATCAGGACAGGTGTGTGTGTGTGTGTGTGTGTGTGTGTGTGTGTGTGCGTTTGTGTGTCTAAGTACCTATGTAAAGGAAGTGTGGACAGGAAGAGGCTTCCAGATGTTGTCACACTTTTCAGCTGATAATGACTGTGGCTTCACGGTCCATGTGTCTTTGGGCGATTTAATTTTCCATTCAAAGACAGGTATGAAGACCGCACTTGTTCTCCTCTGTTAATTTCAGAGATAATAACCGCGTGCATTTTATGATAAACTGACCACCAAACTAGAAATGCTTAATGCAGAAATCTGGACACTCCACCAAAAGGTTCACAGCCAGGTTCAAACTAACTGATATGATGCTTAAATACTACAACTTCTGCTGTGCTTTGTGTTGCATAGCAACACAAGAATAAGCATTAAAACAAAAGGTGTAACTGGCTCTTCAAACTAGTCCTGAATGACCACACCAAAGTACAGTAAATATGCTGTGATGGCCCTGAATGAACACGGCCACTGGCAGGTTCAGTTTCTTTCACTACATTGCAGGAACAATCAATGACATCAGTAGTTGTTTCAGTCCCCTGCTCTTGCTGCTCTTGTAGCGTTTAATCCTCTATCTGTTACCCAAAGTCATAGAAAAACTGTGTGCAGACCAAGAGCTTAAAATTTATATCATTCATAATATCATCACGTGAAGAAGTGAATGAACTCTTTTAAGGGTTGTTGGCAAATTTATAACCATTGAAAAGGTCTTATGTGACGGCTGTTACATGAACTTACCACTTGTGTCTGATTTTCTGCCGAGCAGGCTAAGGTGGTCTGAAAGAGTGCAGAGTAAATTGTGATTTACCATGGTCAGTGAGACCTTCACCACAGTCAAATGCTTGGGTAATAAGAGTGCAGCCAGTGAGACGTGACCCTTACTTATTTATTCAAAGGTGAAAGTGGGGTCTGTAAGATCTGCAAGCTTTGGATGTGTTTGTTAAAATATCACAGAACCAGCTATGATTTAAAGTTTATTTTCTTCCTCTGTATTTTGACCTGCCTGCACTTCTGTCTCCATCTCGCCTTGCACTTCTCAGAGTATTCTTAATATCTTTTTTATTTGTGAAAGGACTCTTGTTATATGAAGAAATATGTCAGCTCTGCCCCTGTGCTAATAATTCTCTTCCCCAAGTCGTCTTTTTCCACCCTATTCCACCCCTCACTTCTCCCTCCTCAAGAACAAACAGTGGAGATCTTCTGCATGCTGTACATATCTTAAGTTCTGACTTTCATGCCAATAAAGCTCATTTGAATTTAAGTGAATTGAACTGAATGTTTCTCGTTTCTATTTCAGAATCAGCTGAAGATCAAATTTTACTATTTCAAATGGATGATGAGCGCTGCTAAATTACATTTACTGACAATGAAATACTGTCAGAATTGGGTCCAGTCATTTCTGCAGTAACTTGAGCTTAACAAGAGATAACATTACACACATACAAGCATCACATTGGCCCTCATTTATCAAACAAATGTACGGCAGAAAACTGTCCGTATGACCATTTTCACGCAAGGATCGCCATTTATCAATTTGAAAGTGAGAGTATGATATGATCAAATCTCACGACAGGTCTCGCATCGTGTACCCAAGTTTGAGTAAGTGCAGATTTGTGGTGCAACAAATGTCTGTCTCAAAAAAGATTAAGACGTAAATAAAATAAAATAAATTTGTTACGTCCTTTGTGAATAGGCCTATTTGATAACTCTGCCCAGAAACACTGCCAAAGAGCAAGAGTGCCGTTTTAACATTGCGCACATGGGCCACTGTGGAGCGCTGCGTCTGACTCCTAAAAGGCAGGTGTCTCTGTCTTGGCCCAGCAGTGGGGACGTTGTTGTACACTCCTGAAAGGGTGTGGGACATCATTTGGGCCAGTACAGTTTTGCACAATGTTGCACTGGCGAATGGAGTGCCGTTGGATGTGCCGGTGCGATGTGAGGACCCGATGCCCAGAGAACAATAACAAGGCGAGACTCCACAAAGGTGCTGTACAGAGGAGACAGGACCTTATCGATGGATTCTGATGTAAAATATTAGTTTAGAAAGTGTTCTTGCTATTTAAAGGTGTGGTAGGCAGGATCTGAGGAAGTGCCAGTTTTTAGGAGAAATCTTGAATGTAAACACTACCCCTCCCAACCAGTTTTCCACTCATCTCCTCCTCTCTGCTCCAGGAAGCCCGCCCACAAACAGACGCTCCTGCTTGCTCGTATCATTTTAATAAAATTCAGATATAATGCAGATAAATACTTCAGATAATTACAGATGGGGCCCAGTCAACGTAAAAGTAAACAGTATTGGTGCTACTGTAGATGCCAACAGACTACCAGCAAACACAATGTTTGCAGGACTTCTACAACTAGGATAATGTGACATACTCCAGGACCCAAAGTAAACAGTTTAGCAGTGCAACAACACGCAGCAGGTCCCGTTTGACAACAAACACTTTGTTACAGACACTTGGCTTACTTTGTTAAAGTGGTTTACCTGTCCAGCAGAAAGGTTACAGGGTCCGTAAGATCCTGAAGCATCCCCCATGATTGTTGACCCGGCTTTTTTAGCTTTTGTCCGGTCTATCTCCTTTTTAGGCATCTGTTATTCTGCCATAGTCTCCGGTGTTTACTTCCTTGTCTTGCTTGTGTTTGCAGCTATGGCTAAAGGAGGATTCAGACAATTTTTTGTACTTTCTGGTTGGTTTCTACCGTCCGATATTGTAGCACGCTAACTTTGTTTGGGCCCCTGAACAACACAGGGAAGCAGCGTCTGCCTTACAACCAATCAGGTTGGGGTAGGTGGAGAACTGCTTTGTTTACAGTCTGAAAGAGCGGAGTGCTGTGAAAATTTTAAATGTTGACTACACAGACATGACAAAACACAGCGATATTGTTATATTACCAAATGTCATCAATAACTAATTGCTATTGACTGATATTAAAAGCTTTTTTGTAAATACACCACAAAAAAGATGCTTCTCTAACAGATTCCTGCCTACCCCACCTTTAATCAGTGATAAAATCCAATAGAAATCCATAAAAATGTGCTTCAGGGGCAGCAACACACTGTTAAGTGACATTAATAATCATTTTTGTTCAGCCTCTGTCAGACTCTCCAGTCCACCCTACCTTACAAAGACCCAACAAATTAAAACTAAATACTTTCAATAATAGTAGCAACATACCCTATGTCATGGCAATAAAAAGATATGAGGCATGTATGAGATATTAATTTATCATCATGGGCAACTTATTGACTAATGATTTATTCAAACTTCAGCCACTGTCCACTATTCCGTGGCAGTGCTGTTCACGTCACCATAATCCTGCTCCAGACAGGAGTTTTCTGGACTGCTTTTATACCAGTTTTGATGCTTCCAAAGAGAAAATCCTTGTTAGTTTCCACCACTGATATGAGAATATCCACTTCCAGTTTGGAAAAGTTTCGAATATTTCTAATATTTCTCCTCTTTCATGTTTGACCTCAGTGGGTGAGGCTCCTGAACAATCGAGTTCAGCCACCGCATTTATCAAGACCCGATTATACATACGCTGGGGTTGGTCAGATATGAACCCTTTCAAAAATCTTACGTGTGTCCTATCGTAGGATGAATCCTGCACTCAGATCTGCATCCAGTACTACGCAAGATTGATAAATGAGGGCCACTGCTGATGCCTGGTGTCCATGCTGCAACTGTTGAATATAAACCACTGTAAAATCATGCATACCAACCACACTGCTACCATAAGACCAGCTGTAACATTTGGGATCAAACAATATTTCCCAATTTACTACATTTGCCATTGCAAACAGAAAAAAAAGGACATGTCATCGTAAGATAATTAGGCATGGATAACATTCATGTACTATTATCTCCACTTAAGTAAACAAGCTAATAGACTCTGAGCACGTTAGACTTGCTGCTCTTGTGCTAATTTGGATTGGCCATTGGGCTGGTTTTGTCACACAGAGAAAGCCTCCTCTGGGACCACTCTCATCACACTTTCTCCTTGCATTGAGCAGATTTGTGTCCATGAGTGCCGTCAAACAGCTGCTTGCTTGGTCATTGGCTTTTAGGAAGCTGTCACTCCAGCAGTTAATCAGCTTGAATTCATGAAATCTTTGCTTGTTGAAATTGTGATTAAACACTTCTTGGGGCATCACTGCAATTTACAAGTTAACCACTTACTCACTTACCCTCCAGGCTCGTCCAAGTTAGTCAACAGCATTTGCCTAATCTTGTGCTAATCATCCATGACCTCAGTCTTTGGCTTACCCCTGTCTGAAGCAGGAGTATGGAGGTCTTTAAAGCAGCACTGGAGGAAAAGGGGATCTTAGCTAACATCTGTCTGCTGCTAGTTAGCTGTCTGCTAAAAGACCCATTAGTTCAGTCACTCACAGAACAAGAAGAGTTGATTGAAAAGATGGATTTGTATGACTGGCTCAACTGTTCGCAGACCACACTTGTTGATAGGGTTGGGTATCGTTTGATTTTGAACGATTCCGATTCCAATTTCGATTCCTCATTTCGATTCCGATTCCTATCGATTCTCTAATTCGATTCTTTTAAAAGGCAGGATATCAAAAAGAAAAAAGAAAAAAAAAAACATGGTTTGAATGAGGGTGCTAACCGGGGCTCTTCTTTTTGGATGAAATTTCTGAACTTCTCCATGAATTTTTAAATCCTATTAACTTTTTAAGAACTTTACTATGAATTTCTCACAGAGCTATTTTCAACCAGCATATAAATATCAATTTTTGTTTTCGGGTCGTTTGTCTATGAAAAAGTACAAGGGCTAATGTTAGGTGGATATTTAAGTTTACTCACCGTACACAGTTCAATTTCTTTACCATTTCAAAGTTAGCAGAGGACAGAAGTAATTTATTGTTTCACTTATCTGATCCTGACTGGTTAGCGGAAGACCGGTGTTGTGCTATAGAATGCACCCCTGCCGTAGAATGCCTCCCCTACACTGATTAGCTTCTTAGTGGAAGAAATATGATCTCATATTTAATAAAACACGGGTATTTGATCATGAAAACGTGTCAAATGGAGCAGTAAACTTTCGTTTTGTTTGTATGTGTCTCAAAAATGCACACATAAAGGTGTACTTGGGTATATAAACTGTAGAGTAAGCTGTTAATGTAGAGAACATTATATTTTCAGGACAGTAAATATTCCGAATCAGAGGGCTATTGTTTTCGGCATATCTGAATAGCCTGAATGAAATCATTAAAGGCACACGCTTTAGATTCCGTCCAACGGTAAGAAAAACTTGGATTGTTTCGCCTTGTTGTGTACTTTCAACCGCGCTCCCGTCAGGGGTGCATTCTACGACACAACACCGGCGAAACGCGTCAAAGACGAGCACTCGGGTATTTCTCCTCCATGAATCCTGAGGTGTTTAATCATGTTGGTCGTTTACCCTCCTTTGCATGATATAACTGTATTGCTAATGTTGCATTGAGATAAGAGTTCATTCTTCCTGCTAAAGTTAGCCAAACTTTTGACCAACGAAGAAGAAGCTGCCGAACACCAACGAGGACGGAGCGTATGAGACGAAGTCACACAGAGAGAGGAGAGAGACAGAGAGAGATTACATTGTAACCCACAGCGGCTGCATTGCTGTGGGTTGCAATGTACTTTCTCTCTCTGTCTCTCTCCTCTCTCTGTGTAGCTTCGTCTCATACGCTCCGTCCTCATTGGTGTTCAGCGGCTTCTTCTTCGTTGATTTTCGGCGGCTTTTTCTTCCGGTCGGCGGACTCTGGCATCGAAACTTGGAATCGAAATTTTAATATTTGAACGATACCGGAAGAATCGAAGTTTTAGTCCCGATTCCCATCGATTCTCGATTCTCGATTCCCAACCCTACTTGTTGAACAACATGGGCTCTAAGATGAAACGTAATGTACAGAAATAGATACAGATAGAAAATAAAAAGTTTGGCCCCTTCAGCTCTCTGTCTTTTCAGACTCCATTAAACTTGATCTGACCGCAAGAATTTGCTTGAGTGACCTAAATTGTACACATAACTTAATGGACCATTTCTCTGCACATATCTTTACCGATCTGACAGTCTTGAAACAGTTATATGATTGTTTGTGAGCAGGAACATTAAGTCTCCCAGAGAAGTAATATTACTATACTGTCTGAGTTTGCATCTTCTCTTGATACATTGAGCTGGTACATTGGTATTAGCCTCGGGCCCATTGCTCTCCTTTGGGACAGACTTCAGCTGTCTAAGGACATTGAATGAATAAACTGGTATAGATTATTCATACACTTCTTGGTTTGATTTGATTCTGAACATGATATCATGATGCATTTTGGAAGACCACAGATGCAGAGTGCCGGAGCATGTGCCTCACATTCCCATTTTCATTTTAAAACTTGAGAATCAAACACTGGAGTGTTGTTTGACCCATTTAAACAGTCTTCTCTCAGAAGCACATGTAACAGAAAACAAGAGCAGTTCCTCACATTTTAAAAGCAAGAACAAGCAGCTCAATCCCAGTATTCCCACATGACTTTCTTTCCTAGTTCAGCAGGTGACATGCTGCCACAGGCCAATAGCCACAAGAGCAACAGTGAGGGCTACCATATGCTGCACGGCGGGTCATCTGGGATTGTAGATCCTGGCTCTGTATCAGGCTTCATTACCACTGTGCTGTCAACCAGAGAGGAGGGCAAGACTCTACAGCAACAGCTCTGTCAAAGACAAGCAGCTCCGGGTTCACTCAGCCAGATCTTCTTCTTGTACATCAAACAGTTTTATTCTGTTGTATGGACTCCAAACTTTTATTCAGACTTGAAAACAGACAATCAAGATGCCTGGAGTTTGACTTGTGCAGAGAGTTAGAAAACAGAGGGCCTTTCCCAAAGAGGGCGTCTGTAGGAGAGAATTAGGTTAATATCACTCAGCCATTGATTTCCTCAGGATGCAAGTTATCAATGTTTAAACAGCATTTTAAAAGCAGAAGTCTTTTTAATGTTTAAAAAGGCGAGAAACTAGAGCATGTGTTTCTGTCCTCGCCTGCTCGACTCACATGGCTCCCTGCAGAAAGAGAGCAAGAAATCTTTTTATGCAAGAAAAACTACCCCTGTAAATGTAATGTTTTATTCAGAGCCACTTCTCTTCATCATCCTCAACCTCCTCACTTACCCAGAAAAATCTGAATCTACCTCCACAAATTGAAATGCACCTCTACGACAGGGCTTCCCATGCACTTTTGACATTCTGTTGATATACCCTTCTTACAGGCAGACTCTGTGTGTGTGTGTGTGTGTGTGTGTGTGTGTGTGTGTGTGTGTGTGTGTGTGTGTGTGTGTATTTGTTTGTTTGTATGCAGCACTGAGGAGCTTTGATCAGTATAGCACCGAAGCAGAGGGAAGGGTTGGGGTTGGTCCCACTTACATTCACCTTCATGGGCTGACAGAGTTTGAGCATCCAAACAACATTAAGCAGTTAAAACTTTGGTGCTTAAATGGCTTAATCTTTAAAAGGAAGTCAAACAAGAGGCAATTAAAGTGAAAGACACAGGGATCAAACCATATTGTCTTCATATACCTTATTAATTACCTCCGCCAAGGAGGTTATGTTTTCGGTAGCGTTGGTTTGTTTGTTTGTTTGTTTGTCTGTGAACAACTTTACGGAGAAAGTTACAGACGGATTGACCTGAAATTCTCACCAGATGTGCGTCTCAGCCCCATGACGATCCCATTACATTTTGGTGGTGATCTGGATCACCTTCTGGATCTAGGAATTTTTTGAAGGATTCTTTATCATTGTGAGATAGGGCAAATTTTGGAATTTTTGCATTTAACTCTATAAAAATGGCCAGAGTCTTTAGTAAAAAATTACACAAAAAGATCTCAATGAGTTTTATGAGGTGTCAAAGGTTGATCCTGATCCAGACAAAATTCTGGATACTGTGATCCAGAACACACAAAAATAAGGGTGTCGTTGGAATTTTCAATGCTGAAAGATAACCAATGGGCGGCACAGTGGTGTAGTGGTTAGCACTGTCACCTCACAGTAAGAAGGTCCTGGGTTTGAATCCGGGTCAGGGCATTTCTTGTTTTAGGAACATTATGAACAGTGAACATACCGTTTAAACACAAATAAAAATTAATAAAAGACACGTAACAGTAAAAGTTTTTGCGTGAATCACAATATAAGGGGGACATGAGCTGCTTGACGTAGGTCTGTGCTCTCCGAGTGCTTTCCTAGTTCAGTTTGTCATTATGAATATAAGTATACAACCTGAATAAGGATTGTGTAAATAAGAGGGAAAAACTGAGATTTTAGAAGGGTAGACAAAGAAAGATACAAGAAGATAAATACAAAGTCTAAGGACACTTTAGCAGATGCCTTAAACAATATTATGAACATGAATGTAATACTCAAAAGCTTTCAGTACAATTCTCCTAAAATTATAAAAACCCCAAAAATGTATGAAAAATGAAAATTCTGAAGCAACAGCAAACACAAATACACATTTAACAATAGATACATTTATTTTTCAAAGTCTCTCTGAAAGAATTGTAGAATTATGTACACAGACAGTTGACCGAGGACAGAAAAGGTAGAGGGAAGGGAAGAGAGAGAGAGAGAGAGAGGCCTGAGGTATAGAGCCAGCAGCACTGGAATCAAACCCTACAGGACTGGGCCTTAATAAATCTTATGCAAGCTGCAAATCATGAGCAAGCACAGCAGTATATGCAAGTGAAGTGTTGCTCTATGGATTTGTTGTTGTCTTAAGTAACCAGGGTGGAGTTTGGAGGTAATTTAATCTGTTCGATTGTCATGAGCTAGAAGAAGCACATAATGTAATCTAATCTACCTGGTAAACTAGACCTATCATACCTGAATTCACTTCCTGCATATCGTTATAGAGCAGCAGCATGAATATGAGTAAAATGGCAGTTGTCACAGGACATAGAGATGTTGTTTTCAGCATGCATCTCATCAGTAAGGGTGATCACATTTGAGGGCTTTGCCAAGAATAGATTACAGCCTCTAATATCACCAGGAGTCCCTGCTGTGTAACAAAGTGATGACTTACTTGAACATGTTGAAATTACAGCTGGAAAATATACCAGGATCATCTCTGGGTCAGAATCTGAAATTAGAGTTACCAGCCCTGGTCTCAGCAGACTGATGTTCAACACTTGACATTGAAGGTTTCATGGATACTAATATACCAACTTTTACTGGTAAGCTTTATCAAATAGTCGGCTGAACTGACTAGTCAACTAACCCTTGTGTAATAGTGTTGCTGTGAACAACAAAAATCATAATGTGTGATGCATTTCACTGTGACAGTGACATTAATCTGAATCACACTTGACCAAGAGAACAAAGACAACCATCTCTCTGTCTCTTTGAAACAAAGCACAGAAACAACCCTTTTAAAGACATGCAGCAGCCAATGTATCAGCTGGTAGCTGAGTTGCCATGACCACAGACGTAAACACAAACAATAGCCACACACTGCTAATTCTGGCACTTTTGATGAGTCAATACATTAAGCTACGTTGAATATTGTACCAATACACAACAGCATCTACATCACATTATGTGCTTCTTTTCACTCTGCTGGCTCATAATTTGCTCCTTCCTGTCTTTTTGGTGTTCGGTGAGGAAAACTAAAGTATGAGAAATAGGCTTGATCACTGTTGGGTGACAGTTTCTTGTTTAGCCAGGGCTTTGAGCTGCATGTCAGAGCCATGATCCTTTTTTTTACAGTATCTGTCATTTTGTCCAGCTGATCACTGCATACAGCTTACCTTAATGGTTGAAGTAGCTGGGGAAAGTCCTGCTGGACAAAAAGCTAATAAAACCTTCTTGACCTAAGGGATAAGGTAAAAGGAGGATGGATACTGGAGGTGGGCTCCTGCAGTGTGGGAGTTTTGCAGCTCCACTGTGTCAACATCCCAGTAACTTTCTTGAAGACTCCAAAATCAGGCAACTGGACTGTGTAGAGTTGAGAAGACATTTCGCCTCTTATCCAAGAAGCTTCTTTAGTTCTAATTATTGCTAGTGTGAGGAGCAGATATTTATCTTACTGGAGAAGGGGACAGACAACGACTGGGAGGAGTTGGAAAGAATGGGTCGTAGAAACCCATCCCTGGGTGTTCCCCCCTGAGGGTCGTTAACCTGAAAGGGTCGTTAACAACCCCTGTCATGTGACCACATGACCCATGCCACCTGGGTCATGTGGTCCCAGGTGTGAATGTTTGTGGAGCTTCCTGGGGAGAGAGCTGAGAACTGCATTGTAAGTGCCGGAGAGATTGTGCCTGAGTTCACCCCCTCTGTTCAGAGAAGGTTTCTCCAGTCTGGTAAAGATGGCTTCTTTAACTCCTCTTTCAAACCATCTGTCTTCTTTAGCCAACACCTGTACATTGCTGTCCTCGGAAGAGTGACCCGTGTCCTTTAAGTGAAGGTGGACAGCTGAGTCCTGACCTGAGGAAGTGGCTCTCAGTTCAGAGAGCGCCATTCCTGACAGAAACATGGATGCGCTATGGGCTCCCCAGTTTCTCCAATAGTGGCAGACCTGTAAATGGAAGAGGTAGAGAGGAAGGCCCTTACCTCCTTCAAAGGAGCAGCACCTAGCCACAGGTTCAGATATGTGGATGACACCTGGGTTAAGATCAAAACACATGAAGTAGAGGCCTTCACAGACCATATCAACACAGTGGACAGCAACATCAAGTTCACCCGTGAAGATGTCAAGGACAATGTGTTGGCCTTTTTGGACTGTGCTGTACACTTGTAAGCAGATGGGTGTCTCAACATTGAAGTGTACAGGAAACTCACACACAGAGATCAATATTTACTTTTTGATTCCCACCATCTTCTGCAGCACAATCTGGGTGTTATCAGAACACTCAACCACCGGGCTGAGAACATTCCCACTAAGAAAGAAGGTAAGGAAAAGGAACAGAAGCACAACAAAAATGCCCTGACAACCCGTGCATACCCTAAGTGGGCCTTTGTTAAGAAAAGAAAGAGAAATAACACTGAACATGAAAGGGAGGAGAGATAGTAAGATAAAACCAGTAAGATAAATATCTGCTCCTCACAATAGCAATAATTAGAACTAAAGAAGCTTCTTGGATAAGAGGCGAAACGTCTTCTCAACTCTACACAGTCCAGTTGCTTGGTTTTGGAGTCTTCAAGAAAACCACGACCTGGATGAATGGGAATCTACATGGACATCTCAGTAACTTGTTGATGATGCACAAACTTGTCTTTATTACACCCAAGTACACACTGATGTATTAATAAACTACATTTATTAAGTTCCTAAATCTCTAGCCAGCTTTTAGCACTGACCAAATGTAACTAGAGCCCCATGGAGTGTGTGTCTTTGAATCCATCTATCTGTGCTTCTGTTTTGACTGAAACTTCTCTTAAGACCTCTGATAAATGGATGATTTTTTTTTTTTCATGAGGTATCTTGTTGGTATCTCTTCAGCTCACTTGAGCTGCATGGCTTGGGTAAGTTATATCCTGAATTCCATTGAATTTAGAATTTATTCAGTGACAGTAAAGACAAATTTACATTTTTACATAGTTCATACTAAGTGGTCACACTTCTTTAGCACAACCTGAACCATAATACTGATCTTAGAGGCTTGCTTTAACACACATACTAAAATTTGTCATTACAGAAAGATCTGAACAAATTTGAGGAGATCTGATGGGACTGGGTGCGAATAAGGAAAAGAATGGTCCTCTCAGTTTGGACTCAGGTATGAGATAAGCTTAACATTTTATTTTCTTTGTCGTTTCAAGCTACGCTTAGTCGGAGTGATGTATTGAGCTCAGACCCCTCTAATTGACTTGCAGCTATATTTGGTATTATAATTGTAATAGTGTCTGAAAGTAATGAGATTATTCTCTGTAGGACTAATTTAATCTCATGTTAGTGATTGCATTAGTAAGCAGGTAATTAATAACGTCAAACAGATTCGCAAAAGCCTGATGCTCCACAGTAGAGCTTTCCCAATGAGAGCAGCTCCGTGTCTGTGTCTGTGGCGCCATCCTGACGCCTGGATGCAGAAGAGATTGATTTAAATAGCTTCCAAATATCATTGAAAACATTGCTACAGCGAATCAGCATTACTCTGGAAAATGAAGTACAACAATATTAGGGTATCTTAGGCTGAGAGCAGGGCTGAAGATAAATCGAGATGGAAATGATTGGTGAGGATAGATGAATCATTCATGAGCAGGAGATGGGCCCCAAAGCAGAAGACAAAGTTAGACTACACCCCCACTCTCACCTTGTTCTTGCAGTAAGGCATGGCTGCCATGCTAAGTGTGTGATTTCTCCATAATTGGATGCCTCTGTTGTCGTCTGGTTAACAGCCCCAGTGGGAGGCAGGCTCTGTTCATCTACGGTGTCCCACTCTTACCTCCCCCGTTGTCGCTGTCTCTCCTCCAGCCTCCTTTCTTCTTCAACTAATGCTTTCACCCT